GACGTTAAACCCCATCTCTCTCTCTCTCTCTCTCTCTCCCTCTCTCTCTGGAACGTAACTTGTCCCAGAAAGTACGCAAAACACGTTTTTAGCTTGTGGTCACTCTAGAGGTCACAATTTTATCCAATTTAAACAAACGATTCAATATATAACTGTTACACCCTTACGATGGTTGAGTTCGACATTGAGAAGATGGCTGCTCCTTGTACGCAAATAGTGTAAAAGTATGTAATACCAAGGTTGTAGACCTTCTAGAAGTCACAGTTTTTATCGGATTTTGATGAAACTTAACATATGTTTATATCCAACAGATTTCAGTTCCTTACGATAGTCGTTCATATCGAACAGTAACGTCCTGTATTATGGCCCCTGGGTTTACAAAAACTACTTATTTATGCCTATTGTGTCTTGTCCGTAGATTTGTTTTGTGTAAATTATATGTGTTGCAGTCCCCTTGCACTTACCATTAAGATTCGTTTGGTGGGACGGTGATGACTTTCGTAAAAAAAAATTTATGAATTAATACGATGACATTAATTTCATTGATGCAAAGCATTAATTGTGATATCACATATGCCTGTATCATTATATTTCGCTTTCAATGCCCATCCCATCCCATCATCTGATGATAAAGGATAAAGTACACGGCCGTGACACTTTTCTCATAAAAACTTGTTTTAAAGAAAATATGTAGCTGAGCAGAGGGGGATTTGGGGGATCCGCCCCTGCCATAGAGAGAGTTTATTACTCCATGTCTGATCACCAAGTTCATGGAATTACTTTTAGCATGATAAGGTCATCTGGGTATTGGATAGAGAATGGGATATCTGTAGTATTTGTATGCATGGGCTCCCGTGCCATATATTTAGAGGTCGCACATACAATGGATATATGAATTCTTATAGACGTTTCAACAGAAGAGGACCAGTTAGACAGCTATATTCAGATCAAGGTAGCAACTTTGTGGGATCGCAGACAGAGTTATAGGTGGCGCTGATAGAAATGAACAGTGGTGGAATTTCAAAGGAACTTTTAAAGACCGGATGTGATTGGATAACATTTAATATGAATACACCAGGGTCTAGTATGGGGGGCTCCTGGAGCGCCTGATTCGGTCTGTCCGAAACGTTTTAGTTGCCCTTCTTCTCAGTCATGGTAAAATATTAGATGATAAAACTCCTTTAACCTTCATGACCGAGCTTGAGTCAGTAAACCCAGATTATTATTCACCCTTATCTCGTAATCATTTGTTAGCCAAGAAAGGTCAATTAGTGTTATCTCCCCCTGGAGTATTTGTTCGTGAAGATATGTATATCAGAAAGCGATGGCGTAGGGTCCAGTTCTTAGCCAATGAGTTCTGGAAGCGCTGGCGTCATGAATACTAGCAATCACTACAAGTTCGACAGAAGTGGCTTAAGCCAGCTAGTTAATAATTTGAAAGTAAATGATATTGGTTTAATTAAAGGTGAAAAGCTTCCTCGAAATGTGTAGCAACTTTGGAGAGTGTCTTAAACTTTCCCGCGGCCGGGAACTGACAAATTTAACTCGTAAGATCAAGGTCGAACTTCCTTATGATATTGATAAGAACGGGAAAAGAGACTCCTAGAAAGGTGCTTAAAAGACCTATCAATAAACTTATTTTAGCCCATGAGCAGGGAGATCGGGGAATCCCCGTCGAGGAGAAAGAATGTGGGCATTGTTTTGATTACATGTAATTTGTTTTACATTGAAGATTAGTCAGTAAATTGGTCAATAATGTGTCACTCATATTTTCTTAATTTAGGCGGAAGTCATATATATTCAACAGCAACGTTTCTCGTTCATATGCGCTTATGTATGGTTCCCACTGTCGTACGATGCATTACGAAGCTTCTGGAACCGCGAATATTTAACAGAACAAAATTACCAGATTTTCCAAATAGTCAACAAGTGGCTTACCAAAAAGGATTGTCATCCATCCATGCATCCTTTACCTTCAGGAAACGATCTACCATCATCTGGAAAGATCAAACAACAAGTTACACGTCGCTTTCTTGAACAGTACCAAAGCGTTCGATTCAGTCTGGCACAATGGGTTGCTCCTAAAGCTTCATGAGATCGACTTAGATGCGTCACTTTGGTCCGTGCTTGATAACATGTATACAAACATGACAAGATGTGTTCGACTCAATGGCGATTACTCAAGGAATTTTGTTCTTCAAAGGGGAGTACGGCAAGGAGGGGTGCTATCTGCAAAGTTTTATCTTTTATATATCAACAGTTTACTGAATTATATCTCTGAGCCGAAAAATGGTGCCCGTGTGTTGGATGTTTCGATGTGTTGTCCAACGCAGGCTGATGATATTGATGTTGCTAGTCCAACTTCGAACGGTTTACAAAGCCTCCTCAATATCTGTGAAAGATGCAGTTCTTACTGGAGATTTTAATTCTCTTCCACTAAGAGTGTAGTGATAGAGTTCGCACCAAATCAATCTCGCCAGAATAGCCTAGAACAATGTTCTGCTCCTACGGTTAAACTATGTGGAGAGCCACTTCCGAACGTGCATTCATTCTATCAAGCACGTAGGGGTATTATTGGATGGGAATTTGAATTCAAAGGAACGTACTCTTTCGGCTTGCCGATCAATAAGGTCTAGTTCAAGTGCCCTCTCCAAGAAAGGGTTGTGTTTAGGTGGCCTGACTCCGACTGTGTGTTTCAAACTCATAAAACAGTGTGTCTTCAGCAAGTCACTATACAGCTGTCAAAATTGCAATAATCTATCCACAACTGAATGTTCAATGCTTGAAAGAGCACAGAGACACGTTGTCAAACTAATACTGGGATTGAACATTAGAACTAGAACTGACGTTTGCCAAGGACTTATAGGATGGTGTTCGCTAGAATCTTATATCTCAATACAGAAACCTTTCCTTCTAGGGCAACTATTAAATCTAAGGTCACATTGCTTACCCCATCAGATCTGCGTAAATCGTTTATTAGAATACAGATACAATTGATGTAAACAGCCATGTAGCTTTATTGCCGATGTTAGTAAAATTCTGAAACGTTACAATCTTTCGCATTATATCGAGGACTTCATCTTATCTAGAACCTTCCCAAGTAAAGTACGTTGGAAAAAATTAGTAAAAGATTCCGTAAAACTGATTGAAACAAGAAAACGGTTAGAACGAATTAAACAGGGTGAAGACATGCAATTATTTAATGAAATCCATCAGACCTTAGAGCCCCATCCTATATTCTCCCTGTGGCCTAGTGATCCGTCGCTTAGCAAAGCCTGCAGGGTATTCATGAAGGTATGTGCGTACGCTAGGATCAATGATCCAACATCTTTAGATAGATAACTGTGTGAATATTGTGGCTTATCCCTTACATGCAACCTGAGTCATGCTATTGTCGACTGTGTCCTATTTATGCAAAAACGACTGGATGTAATGAAATTGTATTCACACGAAGAGCTAACCAATAATAAATTCCTCGTTAAAATGGTCTCTATCCGTAACATCGACGATCACGTGCGGAAACAAACAGTATTGTTTATATTCCTAGTCTGTAAGGGACTGGTATGAGATCACTCTATCTAAATGTCATTCGTTAGACAGTGTAAATCTAGAGGCTTAACTCTTTAACATTTTACTTCTTATTATTATATTTTGTGATTATTATTATATTCACTGTTTTGTAATACTCTTCATATTTGGAGGATCAATAAAGATATATATATATATATATATACATTACGACAGAATTGTCCTTATTGAGTGCACGGTCTGGTACAGAGAGAGAGAGAAATGGGGTTTAACGTTCACTCGACACAAACTAGGTCATTTCGGGACTAACATATGGTTTAATTTTTATTTCAATAATTCGCATGCGCGTAGGGGTTTTTAGCAGTGGGGGTAAAATTGGACGGTCTGGTACGTGCACGGATACGTTCGGATACGCTTCGATATGATCAACACGATTGCTACGACTGATCTCAATATATGATAAGATGTGATAGGATCACCACGATTACTCCACGATTCAAATCACGATTTCAATCGTAGTGCGAATCGTGATAGTGGCAACCTAGCATAATGCAGGGTAAATAATTAGTTGTCTGAGCCCATTTTTTAAGAGTTAGGTCCCTTTTTGTAAACGCATTTAAAAGTTTTCACCGTGACGTTAAAGTTAGAATAAATCTATAATATAAGGCTACGATATTACAGAAGACGGGTATAATTATATCTTTTAATTAACATAAAAAAGTGCTAAAAGATTTTATTAAGAAACTATTTTAAAAGATAACACAGAAAATTGTAGATCTGGACTTTTTGATGATAGGAAAATCAAGCCTACAATAAATCGTGATCCCAAGTTGCCATAAAGGGAGCGTAGTACGATTTACTGTGATGTGTCATGGGTACATTTGGGTAGGTTTGGGTAAATCATGATACCCTTATACGGATGCATATAAATGGTGGCGATATCACCACGGTGGAAGCGGACGTAAAATACAACTAACTCACACACAATATATATTTATAAGAATATTTTTATTTGTAATGACTGTACTGCACTGTCATTCGCATTTCGTTTCATTTACCGGTGTTAAATATGAATAATCCGCGAATGTTATTCTGTACCTCTAATTACACCATTTCGAGAAGTAGTCAATCTCATATATTTATTACCGAATCTCGCGTTCAAATTAACATTTTAGACAAAAATCTAGAAGAAAAAAACATTTCCATTCGTAATTCGTTTTTTATTTGAATCCTATGAATGGACTAAACCGGAAATTGGATTTGTTTACACTTAGCAACTAACTTTGGAAGTAAAAAAAGGTATTTTTAAGTGTAATTCGCCCTTTCTATCACGAATAATTTTATAAATAAAATAAACGAGTAAATGTTAATTTGATTTTCTCGAGAAATGTTTTAGTTTATTTCAAATTAAGACGAAAAACTTAACAATGAAGTTGTAAATACCGTTGTGAAGAAAGAAAACATGGCTGACATTGTCGTGAGTGAGAGACCTAGTTCAATGAAGGCTTTATTGAAATTGAAGTGATGTGATAACATGAAACAAACATTGCCTGAGTAGAGCGAAGCTGATATGATTGTTGTCAAATGTAAAACCTTCATAATTAAGTTTATCAAGTGATATAAAAATGTTTAAATAATTTGTTTTTCCAAATTAATTTTCATTAAATTTAGATCTAAATTACATACATAATTCTGTTCTAAAAAAAAGAACAAAAAAGTGTGAGAATTATTTTTATTGATGTCAAAAATATGTGACGTCAGTGATTAGACGTGTCATAGATATATTTCTGAGACGCGTAATCTCATTGTGGCGAAATTTGGTAAGTTGACATGCGCATTGCTAGTTTTGCCCAGTGTTTCCGGTCCCGGTCGGAATTGTTTTTGGACCAACAGCTTATAGATGACAGTGTCAGTTACGCTCCTATGTTACCGGTGAAGAGCATTGCAACACCCCACTACATATGATGTTTTAAAGCTTCAATCTATATTAAGCAACACTTCAATCACAGCGTCAGTCAATAGACACATTGGTGATACTGATAATGATAATAAAATGTGCAGTAGCCATTTAAGTAATTACTAATATGATAAAATGTAAAATGCATGCTTTTATTCTAACAGGCTTTTATTTTTCATGTGCAAAACCAATATAAGCCTAAAAGACTACCACGTACCCTAGTGCTTAATTTAATTTTGTCCCGAGAAAACATTGTCGGAATCCAGCATCATAAATATTTAACGGGATGAAAAACCAAGGTCCCATGTAGCCCTACACATTGGCATTCACGTAAAAGAACCCTCCGACTGGGCTAATGAAGACAGGCATTCTTATATCAAATTCCAACTGCCACAGGATCTTTTACATGCACACTAATGTATACACTGGACCTTGGTTTTTCATCCGATCCTAATCCCTGGTTGTACGTGACAAGGAGTAGGGGCCCCTGTCCAACCTCATGGGTTTTCTCCGGGTCCTCCGGTTTCCTCCCACTGCTAAAGACCCTTATGCGCAAGAAAATTATTGAATTAAAATTAAACCATATGTTAGTCTCGAAATGACCTCTTTCATCCTATCCGAATGACTAGACAGCTGTCCTTATCCGGCCCCCCGCCCTGTACCACTGACCTCTTAGATATATTTTATTTTCAGATGTGAGCAGGACATTCAGTGGATTTTATTAACATAATTTTCTGATCAGACCAAACAAAGATGCCAGCCACAAAATTAGACGGCCCTTTTAAGGGATTCATGGCTAGGAAAATAACCATGCCAAAATACCAGCCACCTGATACAACCAAACCTGAGAAAGAAGATAGCATGTATTCTGTGCGATGGCCGTCATACAGCAATGTAAGTTTATTTAGCTATAGCACAATCAGATTAAAAAACAGATCCTATTTCGTTTCGTTTTTTATAGTTCAAAATTTCATTTTACTTGTATTTACTACACAAGGATTTGGAAGAGTTGTTATATTACCGGTGTTTCAGTTGAAGTGAGGGATTAGCCAGTAAAACAGTCTGTTACGGCGACTTCTTGGTGTACCATGCATGGAATTGTGGGTAAACGACTAAAAACATCAACGCTGATTGATTAATCAATGTCATAGGGTCAAAAGCGGCTCGTACGACCCCTGACACGACCTTATAGTACAACTTGTCAGATCTTCATGTAGGGTAGGCCATCGAAAGTATAAAAAAACGAAACGAAATATAGATCTGTATCTTAATCAGATTGGCTATAACAAAGTCTGAAAAGGGCACTTTTAATGTCTGTCACAGATTTTCGTTTTTTTGTGTTTTATTTTTAATTCATGCCTAGCACAAAGTTAAGAAAATCAGATAAGCTCAAGTTCTTTCATTTGTTAGCGGTCCGGTTTTGGGGTCGACTTTTCAGAAACAAGGTCATACATGATCTTGAGTTGACATTAAAGGAGACAAGTCTTTAACTCAATATCATCCACAGTCTTCGACATTGAAAACACAACTTATTGGTTAATTTAAATCAGCAATGATGTTGTTATCTTACTTTGAAAAGATGGCTTCTGATATCCGTTATTTAAGACAAAATGAAAGTTTTAAAATTGGCACACAAATCACGTGCCAGAATGCTTTTAAGGTCCATTTTTATGATGTGACTCAATGGACGAGGCTAAACATACCCCACTGGAGAATACTACCAGTGTAGACTGGAATAACCAGACGATAATGGCTGCCATTCAGTTATATTGGGACTCTTTGCATATTTTGCCAAGAAAACTGACCTGAGATTTCAGTAAAAACAGAAACGATTGAAAGTAAATCAGTTTATATGCATTCATATTACATTATTATATGTGTTGCGATTGATTTGTGTCTATTTCTAGTTGCCAAAGAATAGCATTTAGTTACTTTAAGTTATATTTTCATGTAATTCTGTGTAGGATTAATACTTATAGAATAATTTAATTATAGAATTAATACTATCTATGTCAGGTTTATTTTGTAAATGATTTACAGAATTAATACTATGTGTTTTTTGTCTTGTAGAATGATGTACAGAAAAGAATTGATAATGTTTTAGGACCACTTTCTTTATTTGCTCCGTTTCCACATGAAGATGGTAAGTTATAAAGTTTAGTTTATCTTGTGCACTGTTTTATTATATCTTATGAAGATAAAAAACAGGAAGTTTATCAACGTAGATCTGTAAGCAAATAGTGATGTAATTGATACTTGCTCAAATTATTGAATAAATAAATAGAACTCAATGACTATTGAATACCGCTCGGGTTATGCATTGGTTCAAGAGAGTGTATCCCTACGCAAGTATACACTTGAGTGAACCATTAAGTAACCCCAGTGGTATTTAATGGTCATTGAGTTCTGTTTTTATTCTATAACTACATGCAAATTTAAAAATAGACTGTACTATCCAGATTATCAAAAAAAGATAATCATCACCAATAACGTTAAAATTCATCATAGGTTCCGCCCTTTTTTCTTTCTCTTTGACAAAAATTGTGGTTGCTAGTGTTGACGGCATTACAGTTTGACGTAATTCTGAAAGTGACGGCATTCTGGATAAAAGTAGTACGTGTCCAAGCCATTGAATACAACCATAGGTTATTCAATGGCTGTATTCAATGGTATTTGCATGTAGTTATAGAGTAATACAATATACCTGTACTTCCTTCTACTGTAAATTGATACTAATACAATCTGGTTAAAACACAGATCCTATTTCGTTTCGTTTTTTATAGTTCAAAATTACATTTTACTTGTCTTTTCTATACTAGGATCTGGAAGAGTTGTTACATTACCGTCATTTTGGTTGAAGTGAGGGATAAGCCAATAAAATGGTCTGTTACGGCGAGTTCTTGGCGTGCCATGCACAGAACTGTGGGTAAACCACTAGAAACGCCAAGGGTCAAAAGTCGCTCGTACGACCCCTGACACGACCTTATAGTACAACTTGTCAGATCTTCATGTAGTGTAGGCCATCGAAAGTATAAAAAAAAACGAAACGAAATATAGATCTGTATTTTAATCCGATTGATACTAGTCGGATGAACAGTGTACAAACAGAAATGCTGTTCTGTCTAATAGACATCATAATTGGAGCGATAAAAAACGAGCCTCAATTCATGGGAGACAATCAGGCTTGACTGGTATTCCAGAAGCCAAGGTAATAATATGCCTTGCTTCATGCAAACCTAAGAAGCCATGGTGGCTAAATGGGTAAGACGCTGGCTCGCTAGACTGGAGGTCGCATGTTCGATTCTTGCGTTGGCCGAGAAAGTTAGTCGGGATTTTTCAACATGGTTTCCCCTTGTCAGTGGTGCAGGGACTGAGGGCCTGACGAGGACAACTGTCTAGTCGTTCGGATAGGATGTAAAATTGTGGTCCTGTGTATACATTGGCATGCACATAAAAGTTTCTTTGACAGTTGGAATTCGTTATATATTGGCCATAGTGCTGCTGCCCGGACATAATTTCCCACATAGCACACTGTATGGTGTATGCCCGTCTTCATTAGCTCAGTTCAGAGCAGGACAGTACGATGTTAAACCCCATTTCATTTCATTTCCATGCAAACCTTTTCATTATTCATAAAACAATATTACCCTAGATAAAAAAAAATACCAAGATACTTAACTCAACTAATGCTAGGTTTCCACTATGAAGATTCGTGCTGGGATTGAAATCGTGGTTTTAATCGTGATGATCCTATCAGGTCTTATCATATATTGAGGTCAGACCTAGCAATTGTGTTGATCGTATCGAAATGTATCCGAACATATCCTGCACGTACCAGATCGTGGACTCAATAGGGATAATCCTATCGTAACGTATCGCACGACAATGGGAACCTAACATTACTTAATGAAATCTCTGTTTTCATCTCACAATTATGTATACCAGAGATACTGTTTCAGTTGAATATCCTGGCCATGTCCTATGTCGATTGGCAAACTCCTGACTGGGAATATGCCCAATCGAACGTCAATATTCAGAATTTAAAAACAAATTGACTGTGCACAATATCAATATCCTTAAGGTTAAAAGATCACTTTCTAGAACATCAGATACCCCTTCTCAGTTGGATATTTCACATGGCTAACAAATTGCGCTTCTTGAAGGCCTAACTCTACTCTAAACTGTCTATTCTCAATCGTGACCATCAGTTGAGAAAAGTTTAAATATAGAGGAAAAAAGGTGATATCTTTTGTTGTTATTTAATATCATATTTTCAGAACCTGAATATGAAGAAATAGAATTAGAAAGACCAATAACACCTATCAATGTAAGTAGACATGACTTGTAAGTAAATATTTTACGGTTCCGTAATATTATTTATTGGAGATAACTCTATCGATGTCTTCACTTGGGCCTATAGTTGTACAGAATATTTTGAAACATAGTGGTTTAACTAGCATCAAACCAAATGTGAACGAATATTATCGTCTGTCTGTCATATATGTATATGTCAACAATTTTGTGTAATAACTTTATATGGATACCCATATCTAACTGCAGGATCTTGTGTTCGTAAATCACAATTAATTCCAGGTTTATCTTCAAATTCATGAAACCTGGTGAATGCAATGTTAGATAGAGGTCTTATGGACTTTTTAATACTTACTTGGGGCATAAGGATCAACCCTACCAACATTGAGAATATTTCGATGTGAAATACAATGTTCTGCTTTCGTACTATAAAGATTTGTTTTATTTTATTCCAGGAAGAAATAAAGATTCAACCACCATCGCTAGATAAATTACAAAAATTTATACAAAGACGAATCGCTACAAAGCCTGATGTTCCTTTTCTTTCATTGGCAGATCAACAAAATTTGGTAAGCAGTTTACAAACTCAACACTATCCCATGGAAACTGTGGATGTGCCATTTTGGATACGAGTGAGAGAGAGAAATGAGGTTTAACATCCACTTGACACAAACTAGGTCATTTTAGGACTAACATATGGTTCAATTTTATTTCAGTAATTCGCTTGCGCGTAGGGGTCTTTAACAGTTGGAGGAAACCAGATGACCCGGAGAAAACCCACGTGGTTGGACAGGCGACCCAAGTCTTTGTCACATACAACCAGGGAATCAAAACCCTGTGAGTTGACTCAATGACAGACCTTATGATACAACGAGAACACGCTAACCATTCGGCCATCCCTCCCATTTTGGATGAAACTAGTTAGACTTATTGCCGTGGTTTCTGTTCCCTGCTTGTAAGTGACAAGGAGAAGGCTCACCTGTCCAACCTCATAGGTTTTCTCTGGGTCCTCCAGATTCATCTTACAGCTAAAGACCCCAGTGCACAAGCGAATCATTGAATTAAAATTTGGGCCATATGTTAATCCCGAAATGACATATTTTGTGTTTAGTTGGCGTTTAACCCCAATTTCTCTTTCTCTTTAAACAGTAAACCCATAGACCAGTGCAGCCAAATTTTGAACCTCACACTAAGAAAATGACTCATGTCTCTCTAGGGTTGTATTACCATGTTTTTATTTTACAAAATTCAAATATTATTTTATATATTTTTAACCAGGTGTGCCGCTATTTTTTTATGTGTTTAGCAAAAAAAGATTGAGAACCACTGCCATAGACAATTCTCACCTAAACTGTGTCACTTTAATTAAAGCTACAGTTGGACCAACTTGTTTATGCCAACAATAATAGTTTCCCCAAGGTTATTTCCCAAGTTTATTTCACAGATATTTTCCTGTTTATATTTTCCTGTTTATATTTTTACTTTTAATGGTTAGAAACATGACACAGGGAAAAGTTTATTTATAGAATATTGTGAAAGTTGATAGGCTGGTTGATTTGAGCTAACGAGGTAGAACAGTGTTGAATTACGATTTTTGTGATTGTAAATGTTTTCTTCTCCACCTGTAGGCGGAGGACTGGGAAGTTCTAACTAGCTTAGTTTTCAAAAGTCGTTGCAACTCACCGCTGTGGAAAGTTTTAATATTTATTTCTCGAGAAATAAGCCTAATGTGTTGTAAACAAAACTGCCACACTCCAATGTATGTGCCAGAAACGTTTTAAACAAATAATCTAAACGACAGCATTTTTTGTCCTCGCAATAATAAAAGTAGTGAGACGGCGAGCTTTCAGCCAATGAAAATCTAGTAAATAGCGAATAACAGTAAATACACGTGACCTTAAGGAGAATTTAATAGATCACCGTCGTTGTTTTGCTATAATATAATTAGGTCGATTTTTTTTAGCCAAACTCGTTGTAAATCATATTTCTAATGAAAAGAAAGTGTGTGCTATTAATACTGGTATTTACCGGTGTCGGCTAACATGTAATAAGTGCATAAATGTGAAAGATTTAGGTCAGCAATGACTCATTGGGTAGAGTGTCAAACTGACAGCTGCTTACCACTTGGCGATTATGTGCCGTGTTTTCGGACCCTTCACCCCGTCAGACGGACAGTTTTCCCCGATGCCAGACAAGCTTTACCCCTCTTACCCCCGTGAAGCCGCTGTCAGTAATACCTGACGGGCTTGTCCTCTCTCAACAAATTCTTAGCTGTTTGTAGCCTGTGTAAATGTGATGAATCAATTTATTATTCTTAAGAAAGTACACGACACTGTGGAATTAATTTTTGCATGCATCGTGTTTAACGTCCCACCACAGTTCCGAGTATTAAGATAATTTGAGTAGGGTTGGAAATGTTGTTTGATAGCAATGATATAGGCCTATATATAATCGAATGTAATAATGTAATAACAATTAACTGATGTTTTGTGGACAGTTATTTGTGTTTGCTAAATTATGACTCTTTGAAATTAATGCATAGGTATAATACAGGTTGTGTTCTAATAACTGGCTAAAATGTCCCTTGTTTGTCCATTCTCCTATTTTAAAAAATATATATAGACTACATGGTCTTGCTCAAAGTAACGGTCTATGGGAGTTTTAAAAATAAATTATTTTTTTTAACTTTTTTTATTAAAGATAATTGGATTATAGAGCAGGCAACCCCACTCTCCAAAAAAAAAAAAAAAATACAAACAGATATAAATATTACAATCACAACATAATGAAATTACAATAATAAATCAAATACATAAATATACACATATATATATTACATTCACTCACACACACATTTACACACTACACATACACTAATTCATTGATAATTAACATCAAACAACCGAGAAAAAAATGTACCATAATAGACTAAAATAAATATGTATGCTGCACATGTCTGATATATAAAGAAATAGTTAAGATTTTTAATACATGTAGTTCAAAAATTAAACATTAAATATTACTGTAATGACTTTAATTGACAAAAGTTCTGATTTTAATGAAAATGAATATGGAAAAAACAGTATGTACAAGCTCTGTTGATAAGATATGAATTTATATGCTTGAATCAGCATACAATAGGTATGTAAAAACATATATACAAAGTCATTTTAAAATTTAATAAAACATGTTGATTTTGATTTTATAATTATACTAAATCATTCATGGACTAAAGTGTACAAAATATGCATAATGAATTTGTTATGGTTAATATATGTTATAGCGAGTTCAATGATAGGTTCAATATTAACAAAGATTACTTGAATTGTAAAACTGTTCAAAAATTAAACTCGACTAATGATACAAATTTAAAACATTAGTTTTACTATAAAATAAAACAAAATTATAATCTGATGGAATAACTTGATTTTAAAAATATCAGAAATCAAGAGAAAAAGAATCACTAAACTTCAGCCGATCATAAGGGACAGACACAAAAAAAATCCCTGATGTAAGAGTTATAAACTATGTGAGAATGTAGCATTCAACTGAGGATAAAATCCATGCTTCCATATATTGCTTTAATTTTAGTAATGCCAGGTTAAAGGTGTACAAAGAATTGGGGATAGAAAATCATTTTAAAGAAAAGGAAAAAATAATAATACTTTTATAACAGATATTTGTTGATGTAATAATGAAAATATATATATTTATTTTTTATATATATGGTTTTTACATTCAACATTCTTCTTCATCATCATGATCATCATCATTATCATCCATAGCCATCTCTGTGGGTGTAGGTGTGAAATTTTGACAGTCTTTACATCCACATAGATCTGTACATGAAAGAGCAGCAACTTTACACGAACATCTACAATTAATACAATTGTGTGATAGATTAAATTTGCTCAATTAACAATATATTACCAGTAATATAGTAACTTAGCTCAGTCTTCCTAGGTGAATATTAATTTCTAAACTATAATTCTTGCATGATATTTATACTAGAATATATCGCCTAAAACTACGAAGCCCAATTAACCGGCCCACTAGATCCCTACATCTAAATTTTTTTTGAGCAATGCAATCTCTAAATGAAATCAAAATCTTAAATTGCTTATTTAAATAGCATTTCCACCTGGAGGATCAATAATCTTTGCAGATCTTTTCACGGCTTAGACTAATTGCCTTTGATTTTTCTGTAAAGGCTATTCCAAACTATGCTCCCACAAGACGGCAGGTTTTGTTTTAGACCAATCACCGACGGAATATAAATTTGACAAAGTTCCATGGAACCTGACTAAATGATTCTAATAAGAATGTAATTTTAAATATTATGTGCTGTACTTCATATTTCTAATATTACTTTATTGAAAATGATATTTCATAACCCTTGACATTGTAATTAATGACTAATGTAATTTGTTAGTTATGTTTCATAAAAATGTTTTGCCCTTCACCAGTTTAGGCTTCGGTTTTGTTTTAAAACTTGAAAGTTTGCCCACCACTGGTTTGCGTGATACCATGTATTGTGAACAAGTACTTTATATATTTCTTAACAACAACCAACGTGAATACTCACAGCCTAGAAAAAATTTAAATACTAAGACTAAGAAAATAATGATAATAAAATAACTAATAATAACATACAAACATACCTTCGAGTTCGAACACATCTCGATACGTGATTGCAATGTTTTTTAATTTTTTCTTCTCCATCCAAAGTCTGCCACTGTTTTGAATATTCCACACAATGCCTCCGGTGTTGTCGTTAAAAACCAGTAAATGGCAGGGCTGTGTTGCATTCTGATGAATAAGGCACTTCATTTTTCTGGTCAGAATACCAGAAAAATGTGTCCTTGTTGACTATGTACGCCATGATTGAAGGATCGGGGATAGAAGTTTTCTTTATTTTGATTGGCCAAAATGGCACTCGGCATTGATCATAGTGCGTATTCCTACGCGTGTAATGTTTATTTTTTAGGTGATTAGGTTAAAAAGAATTCAATTTTTA